TACATGAATCTTGATCAGAAAGATGCAGTCATTAAAAAAACGAGAACAGTATAACTAAAGAAACACAAAACGATGGGACAGCAAATAAAAAGCTATATTCTCATTCATTTTATTTCCTTCCCATTGCATCGTCCTGCATGTAGAATAATATAAACGAGGGTGAAAACAAAACATTAGAAAGTAACTTTCAAATGAAAATGTGCTGCACGTTGAAGCTAATAAACCTTCTGATGTAGAAATATACAGAAAATCTATTAGTGCAGCTCATTTTCAAGTAATCAGTTTTTGTTCGTTTAAATTTAGGCTAATTTATTCATAACTTTCACAAACTTTTTTCAGTTTTTGCTACAAATGTGTACTGTAGCATTTCATTTTCTTTTCTAAAAACATTTTTGGTTTTAAAAACAGGTTTAGGCTCACCGTATTTGACTTTTTTCTTTGTTGCTTTTTACTGGAAAATAGAATATTAGGACTCCACTTGCTCAGACGGCTGAGGCGAGCTGGTCTGGGAAGCTCAGTCCTCACCTCCTTCTACAGGTGTGCAGTGGAGAGCATCCTGTGCTCCAGCATCAACGTGTGGCATGGAGGCTGCACAGCTGCAGAAAGAAAAGCTCTGCAGAGAGTGGTGATGGCTGCACAGAAGATGTTGGAGTCAGACTTCCCACCATCACAGACATCTACACCTCCAGATACAGGAAGAGGGCCACCTGCATCATGAAGGACCACACTCAACCAGCACACACTTTATGTCCCGCTCCCCTCAGGAAGGAGGTTGAGGAGCATTAAGTGTAAAAGAACAGCTTCTACCTTGAAGTTGTTATAGACTCATACATCCCTTACCAGGATAATCACTGGGATATATGTGACTTATCTGTGCTGCTGATTTCTTGCCTTAAAGCTTCTGTGTTCATACGCATCTGCTCACTGCAAGCTCACGCTCAGGCTGCTGTTTAATATACCGTATTATTTTACATTATTAGTGTTTAGCGTATATCTTGGTGTATTTCTTAGATCCTTGTATAGTATTTATTTTTATACCTTATATATTTGCTATTTTTAGTTGTAACTGGGACAGAATTTTGTTCCACCTCATGTGATGTGAATGATAAAGAAACTTAAACTTGAAAATTACCAAAACAAAAATTACAGAATTAGCTGTTAATTTAACTGACAACTTTAATAGGAATTGGTAAAAAACCAAAGTGATGACAAATATTCATCTTCAAAGTTAACAAAATGTAGCTGGAAAGCTGCAGATTTAAGACCGACTGTATGGATAGTAAAATATTTTGTCTTTTCAGAATAATGTTATGATGTTATAATTCAAATACAGAACAGTTTTGTAGTTCTAGTTCCTAATATATGACAATATGAAGAAAAAAAAGTTTTTACCATATTAAAGGTGATCAAATGATACGCAAAACTTAAATTAGCCAAATCATAATAGTTTAATCAAACTCGATTAGTCCTTTGTTTTCAGATAACAGAAAATTTGGAAAGGTAGGAACAATAATGGGATTTCCAAATACCATTTCTTTTACATAGAGCAACCATCAAAACAATTTAACAACTGAAAGGGCTGTGAGGGTCCAGCATTTTCTCAGATTTAAATACAAAGTGTCACAGAATGTTTCAAATTAAAATAACACATCAGCAGCAGCTGTGTTTGAGTGGTGAGAGCAATTATCCTCCAATGGGAGAGTTGGGGGTTCGATTTCACCAGCAGTCACATGCTGAGGTGTCCCTGGGCAAGACACTGAACCCCTCATGGCCTCTGATATGTCCCATCAGTGTATGAATGTGATAAAACTCAGATTAGACTACAGATTCAGATTATCTTTGTAGAGACATAGTAGAGTGCTGTATGAACGTGTGTGTGGAGGTAAATGAGGGCACAGGTTGTGTTGTAAATAGGGGTGCACTGATAAATGGGCCCCGATTTCCTTATTTTGGGGAAATCGGACGATACTTGCATGAGAAACCGATTTTACCGTGTTTTTTTTTTTAGTTTTAACAACAATTGAACTTCATTTATATTTCGGAGCACTACCTCATGGCCAGTTAAAACAAGTCTGCATTGTTTCTAAGATATTGTTCAAGGTTATGTTTTTTGAAAGTGCATTGTGACCTTATAACACCTGACAGTGTCGCTTATAAACAAAATCGAAATCGGCAGGTCAGAGTGAATAATGCTGACAAATAATTGCAGAATTACATGATGAGATTTGATACTCTCTAAATAAATAAGATTAACGCATAAGATTTCGTGATGGATAATTCTAATGATTATCATTATCTTTAACAAGTTTTGTAGTTTGGTGCCATAATAGTGTTAAACAGAATATCAGATGATATTAATAAAGTAATTTCACAATATTTGAGTCCTTTCACCAGCAGCCGGTTGTTATTCTGCCAGGTGACGGGAACATGCGTTTCTGCTCCACTTAAAGCAACGAATGGCCCCATCCTGCTGCTGAAATCAATAAAGGCCAGTGGGCCGGATGAAGAAGATGGCTGAGCTCTGAACTTTGTGTAAAAGAAAATGAGCTGTGACTGGCTGCAGCAGATTTCTACTGTTGACTGAGGCCTCACTGTAAACTTCAAGGAACTTCATGTGGTTTTACAGACAAACTGAAACTATAAAAAGCGATGCTATCTAGGGGAGTGGTGGCGGAGAGGTTAGGTCCATTAGGTAAAATTATTAAACAGCATGGGATAAATTTTCATTGTTATGCTGATGACACACAATTATATTTGTCCATGAAACCCAATGAATCCAATCAGCTAATTAGACTACAAGCATCTTTTAAAGACATAAAAACCTGGATGACCCTTAATTTTCTCCTGTTGAACACAGACAAGACTGAGGTTTTGGTTTTTGGACCTGAGCACCTTAGGAATGAATTTTTCAGTCTTTCTCCCTCCTTAGATGGCATTAATCTGTCCTCCAGCTCTAATGTTAAAAATCTTTGTGTTATTTTTGATCAGGACATGTCTTTTATCCCCCACATTAAAAACGTTACTAGAACCACCTTCTTCCACCTGCGTAATATCACTAACATTAGAAACACCTTATCTAAAGATGATGCAGAAAAACTGGTCCATGCATTTGTCACGTCTAGACTGGACTATTGCAATAGTTTATTATCTGGGTGTCCAAATACTTTTTAAAATGTTTTCAGTTGATCCAAAATGCTGCTGCCAGTCTTACCTGGAGTTAGTAAGAGAGATCATATCTCTCCAGTTTTAGCTTCTCTCCATTGGCTCCCTGTTAAATCCAGAATTTAATTCAAAATCTTACTTCTAACCTACAAAAGCTCTCAACATCCTAGCTCCATCTTATATTACAGATCTTATTGTTCCATATTTTCCTAACAGAGCACTTCACTCTCAAACTGCAGGTTTACTTGTGGTTCCTAGAATTTACAAAAACAGAATGGGAGGCAGATCTTTCAGTTATCAGGCTCCTCTCTTGTGGAACCAACTTCCAATTTCTGTCCGTGAGGCTGACACATTGTCCACTTTTATAACTAGGCTTAAGACTTTCCTTTTTGCTAAATCCTATAGTTAGGGTTGGTTTGGGTTTCCTGATCTGTCCCTTAGTTATGCTGCTATAGGCTTAGACTGCTGGAGGACAAACTGACCACAATTTTCACTCTGCTACTGTCTTTACTTACTCTGCTCAACATTTGTAATTATTTTTTTTTATCCTTAACGTGGTTTTTTTTTCTCTTTCCGATACACCTGGACCTATATCTGGACCTGGACCTACCATTCTGTTTGTCTGTCTCTCCTTCCTTCTTAAACCAGCCGGTCAAAGCAGATGGCCGCTTGTCCTGAGCCTGGTTCTGCTGGAGGTTTCTTCCTTTTAAAAGTGAGTTTTTCTTTCCACTGTTGCCACTGTGCTTGCTCATGATGGGAGACTGCAACGAAGCCAAGATTCAACTTGTCTGCTGGATTTCTTAGATGGAGAACTTTACTAATTGGCTTTTATGTGAATGTTTCTGTAAAGTGCCCTGAGATGGTATGTCAACATCAAAATGTGGGTGGAAAAGGTGGAACACCCACACCTCCCTCCACCCTCATTCACCCCACTCCGGGCACCCAAGCAAGGCCCTTAACCCCCACCATCTGCTCCTAAACAGGTCTCTCTTGAAAATGAGTTCTCGTGGCTCAGTGAGACTACCTGGATAAATAAAGAGTAAATGAAAAAAAAAAAAAAAAAAAAGGTACAGTCCATTTATCAGGATTCAATCCAAGAAAATAAACACCTGAGAACTGAAAGACATTTTTATGGCTGTTATAAAGCAAATTACAAACTCGTACAAACCATACAAGCAAAAAAAAATAAATCACAAAATAAAAGAAAAACAAGTTCAACCCATTAATAACAGAGTTGCAACCTGCATAAAAAACAAAATGAATAAAAAGACAGAAAGAGGAGGAAAAAAAACCGTATAGTCAGAAAAATGCGTACCAACTCTCTATTAAAGGGAAATCTCTGTTACTGTCATATATTAGATTTGGGTTCTAAAACTACTACATTACTAATCATCCAAATGTAAAAAGCCAAATTTGCCTTAAATAATCACAGATATAATGGAATTCACTATGATTTTCAAAAAGTAACAAAGAATTAAACGGTGCATTGCACAAAAGGACAGATTGTTCATCAGCATAAATGAACGTTAAGGAACACAAAGAGTTCACGACTCATATTGAAATTTATGCAGCATTATTTCTCAGTCTGTAAAACTTAAACTGCACAGATGCTTATGAAGTTACAATCCAGGATCAACGTTAAAGACCAGATATCCTTCTGCACACAAACATGTTCATGCACCCACATTATTGTGAAATAATGTAAAAGGTATAGAAAAGTTAAAATCAAATTTACGAGAAAGACCAGTTTAAATATAGTTTCTTCTATAAATGACAGTAGGAACAGTGACAACGACAAATAAAGTAAAAAGGCAAGCGTTTTATTAAAATTGCCACCCAACTATTTGTAACATGCACTCTGTAGACAGACAAGGACAGATCATTTAACACGCTGACTTTCCAAATTATGAGCCATTAGTATGAAAAAGGTTTGGTCAAATGATTCAAGGCCTCTGGACGAAAAGAAAAATGAAAAGAGAACGCTTTAAACACTCAAGACGACTTGTTCTCAAGCATGTAGAAACGATACACAACACCAATAATGGCTGCAGCAACGGCAGGTATCAACCACTTGGCCCAGAAGCTCCTGAAAACAAGGAACAAATACTACATTTAAATACTCACTACACTTAAAACAGGTTTACAAACATACAGAAAGTCATTTTTACTTTTTCACAAATTTACGAGAATTCTGAATGGTCAACAAAATGTTAAAGCAAGCACAAACATCATAGCAACTCACCTGCACTTTTCTGAGTTTGTGCCTTGTCCCTGCTGTAGCAGAAACAAAGTTATAAATTCAAAAAGGTACAATAAAGACAAAACATACGAGTTCTGTAGTAGGCCGCAGTACTTACCTTTGTATCCTCCTTACTCCTGTCATCCTGCAGAAACAATTTACTTTTACTGTCTAAATATTATGCACAGCACATGTTAAATTTGATAAATCTGTAAAAAGGACCTGTATGCAAATTAGCTAGTTTACATAATAAAACAAAAGCTGGAAATAAACTTTTAAAAGCATGCACACAATAGTTCTTTGCTCTAATCAGTCAAATTCATGAAACTTAAAAATGCAGTAAAAACCGGGGAACTGGAAACGGAAAGCTAGTTCACAAATCAAGTTAAAAATCAAAGAATAATACATAAAATGCACCAAGTTGTACTAAATGTAAAATTAGACGGACAAAACCCTCTAATTATGCCTTAGAGCCGCACCAGTTTGCCAATCCACCAATGTCCAAACAATGTTTTAAAGCAGAGTCAACCAAGACAGCACGACAACTATTTAATTTCCTTAGTTCATTTTTCTTTAATCAATACTGGAGAACTGAATTTGATTTGTTCATAATCTGTGCATTAATTTAACCCAGTGTGTGAGAGCAAATGCTCAGTGTCAGTGTCTGGATTAAGGAGAGGAGATACCAATGTGTTGTACATGTCACAAGACTGTGCAGCACAAGACTAAAAATGAAACCCTTTAAGGAGTTCTGATGGATTTCATGGCTACAACTCAAATTGATTTGTTACATTTTAGTAAGGGTAGTCATGTGGGTCTTTTTTGAAATCTCAAACTCAGGATGAATAATGTTGGTTCTGTCCTCATCGTGGGACACTGGACCAGCCTTTTATCCTCACTAGGGTCCTCAGGCAGCCGAGTGTGAAGCTGCCTGAGGCTATGGTCCACAGTTGGAAAAGGGTGGACTGCCCTTTCCATGTTAGGAGTGAGGAGCTGCCGCAGGTGGAGCAGTTTATATTTTGGCGTTTTGTTTGCTCAGGGTAGTGATCGAAATGAGACTGTGGATACAGGCAGACTTGAAGTACAGCCACTGCTTAACCGCCAGTTAAGGTGGTTTGAGCATCTGATAAGAATGCCCCCACTGTGCGCCTCCCTACAGAAGTGTTCTGGGTATGTTCAACTGTGAGGAGGACCCAAGACACACCAGAGACATTAGTCTCTCAGCTGGTCTGGGAACACCTTGAAATCCTCCAAGAAGAGCTGCAGGAGGTGGCTATGGAAAGAGATGTCTGGGCATGCTTTGCTCAAGCTGCAGCCCTGATCCGACTCCGGAACAAGTGGCAGATAATGGGTGAATGGACGGATAAACAAAAAAAGTTATAAAGCAGGCCGGAAACAAACTCTTCTTACCATATGAAGTTCTCCAATATAGAACTGCTGAAGCATCTCCCTGGCATCAGTTGAATGACCCACATCCTCAAAGCTTTCTGTGGCATCTGCACCTCCCTGCTCCAGCAAAACCTCCTCGCCCCCTGGATGCTATGGTCATAGAATGATGAACAAACTGTTTAGGTAATATAATCACTTGGCCTATTATTAAAAGACAGTACACTATAGTTATATTTGTTTAGTGCAAGTAAGAAAATTGTACTGATAAAAATGTGAAATGTGCTATTGGTATTTTCAGTGGCTGCAAGCCATATAAACACAAACTACAACTAAAATAAACTTATACATGCAATGTATTTCATGGTAATATAGTGTCTCTTCATGACAAGTTAATAAATGAAACAAAAGTCAGGATATTATTTATCTCTCACATGGAAATCCTCCTAATTATAATCAATAATTTCAATAAACTCAAATACCCAATTAATGTGGATAAAAAAATGCAGCTCATTATTAGAAACATGTAAAAGGGTAAATTACCCAGTAAGCAAATAGGAACGTTATGTCAAAATGTTACAGTTTAATGGGTCTATAAAACTTTTTTTAAACAAATGTTGCTTTTGTTACTGTCTCTTAACGGCTTGAACCCAATTTACACGTCATCATGTGACCCTTGGAAGTTCCAGGAAGTACAAGTAGTTCTAAAAAAAACTAACTGCAATCATAAAGTACGTCTAGAAAATAATGCAAGACTTTTGGTTTGTACCAGCTGGAAGAAAGTTTGTCTCACCTCTTCTAGGAAACTTGAGACGTCGTATACTTTATTATGGATGATGAGCCATGTGTCTTTGCTCATATTGTGCACTCGAACGTCTTCGAACGTGTAAAATTTAACGCCGCCATCTGCCTTTTCCTCATTGCGGACCTTGTTAGCAGAAGTTTCTTCACCCATTCTTTCAGCCGTTCGTTAAAAATATATATATGACGACTAGAAGCTAGCTAATGCGTTAGCTTCTGTTGACGAAGTCCAAGCTAACCGACTCTAGCTTTCCTCTCAGTTCGAATTCTTGAATCACAGAAAACTCCGACCGTCGCAGCAAAGACGAGGAGAAACCAGAAAGTCACAAAGTGTTACGAAAGCATTAACGGTGGTACGCAGCAGCAGACCAATGACGTTTATAACGCGTATGTCATCAGAGAGCGGAGGCAGGAAAAACTGACCAATCAGAGTGCGAGATTCTGCGTCGTAGCCAATCAGAACGACTCCTTTTAGAACGCGACGCCGAAGATTTGAGAATACGGAGGATGCCAGATGTGCGCCGTTTGTGCGTAAAATACAACTATTACTAAAAGCTTTAACTATTTTGAAAATGTTACACATTTACATTGTAAACAAATGATAAGGTCAAAGGTGCATCTACACAGATTTACCATTTTTTATCGATCCTCCCACAGACCTAAAACATGCATTTTAGGCTAAAAAGGAAGAAGCGGATAAAGATAACGAATGGACGGATTATGACGTACTTTTTACCATTGACCAGTAGGGGCAGTAATGCACCCTTTTGTTCCGAAAGTGTCGTAGAAGAAAAAAATAGAGCGTGAATGATGGGATTGTAATGGCTGCTTTCTTGTGCGTAAACACTGGCGTTGTGTTTACGAAAACCAAACTGTAATTGTTTATTAGGACGCGACAAGTCCTATTTTATAGACCGCATTCCTAATAGTTAGGCTATTAAAAATACAGAGTTTTTGAAAAAGCTTATTGAAGTTAAAATTTAAAGAAAAACGCGACGGTTTTCTGTGATTCGTCTTTTCCCGTGACAGAAAACAGCTAGCATTAGCCTGATTAGCTGCTTGGACTAAGGTAAGTAACATTCTTAAATCAGTTATTTAAAACAAATCTAAACAATAGTTGAATTTATTTTTTTCTTCTATGGGGCAAGTATCATAGTCACAGACTATTTTTGTTGCAGTTACAGCGAGAGATTGTAACATTTCACTGTTCGCTCTTAATTATACTTATGGTATATATATATATATGTATATATATATATATATATAT